CTTCCTGCTACAAAACAAGCTGAAAGACCATTCAGACACTGGGAACTCCCACGCTAGTTAAGTATCATCTTCAAATCTGCTGTCAAACATCTTGCTTTTAATGCTGATTTTTTTACTCCATATGGTTTACACATTTAGATTCAATAGTTGGACCATAGAATCCTACAAGATGATATTTCAACTAGCAGCGATTTCACTGGAATTCAAAAGTAAACTTTGGTAATGGCCTAACTGTGTCACACAATGCTCTCAAAGAAGTGACGGAGTTCATAAATTTCACGATGGCCAATCATCGCATTCATTTGAAATATTCCTGATCGATGTATGTCGACATATTTATCATTTTAGGGAATTGCAACCTCATTTTCATAAAGTAGACACAATATTAAGCTTATAGGTCTGTTATTTTCAATACTGACACTAACGGGTTAGTATACATCCAGTGTGCTGATTGAGACCGAATAAGAACAAATAATCATTGATAACAGTAACAAAAGCATAACAGTTCAGGGAAATAGCCCACTCTTTGATTGTGAAAGAGCTATGAGATCACAAATTAGTGAACTCTCCTTCAATACTTTCGACTGTCAATTGCATTCTAGTCAGTGTTTTGTATTCGCTTAGCTGGATTGTGCTCACTCATCGAGAAATAACTTCATAACGTGCTGCTAATGAGTAAGGAACGTGATTTTAAATATGCCAATTTGAGTTAAAAGTTCTAATTCTTTTTCCTACAACCTGCTGTCGAATTGAGACAACTATGCTTCACTCACTTCACATTCCACAAGTCAAATTATTGTGAAGTACTCGTGTGACAGAATTTGTTTACTTGGGATTCAGATTCCTGTTCATATTTTCGAAGTCTGCAGACTCAGAAATTTCGAATAAACATTTATTTCAGGATTTCATCATGAGCTGACATTAGTTAGAGAACCATTGGAAAACTGGGAGTACTGGACAGCTGTTTCGTACTAGTTTGGGACTCTTCATCAGTACGAACCCACCCACCGCTGAAGAGTCCCAAACTAGTACGAAACAGCTGTCCAGTACTCCCAGGTTTTCCAATGGTTCTCTAACTAATGTCAGCTCATGATGAAATCCTGAAACCAATGTAATCCCTACAAACCAACACTTGAAAACATTTATTTTTCGTTTCACGGTACTTCTTGTAACATGCCATTTTGGGAATCTTTTTCTAGGAGTAAATGATTATTGAATGAGATTTGCAGTTAACGTCAACTGAATCAAGGTTCTCTCATTATCCTTCATTTACCTTTCTGAGTCATGATTTCATTGCAATCCACCTCCATCGCCTCCAGCATATTTGTTTTACGATAGACCCTAACTGGCCATCCGATCTTAGTTATGAAAGGATGGCGTCGGTTGCATAATGTCGAATTCCCTTTGTAAATGCCTTCTTTGACACACACTCAAAATCTCTGAAGCTTAAAGATGCACAGAGGTGACATAAGTGTTACAAATCCGATTCATTTTCCTAATACCGAATGTAGTAGATTTCCACAGTGGTCCTGTAGCTGATAATTATCCGTGATCAAACGTGAAACAAATCAAATCCCTATAGACCAGCTGTTAAAGATCTGTAATTTATCAGTTTCATGAAGTCATTCAGTGAATTCTTAAACAGATGTTAATGAAATTTTCAGTTGCAGGTGTATTACAAAACTGTAGTAGATATAAAATGCCTGTTGCAAGAGTCAATAACATCTTGGTTCTCATCGAATCTCATTAGTCTATCCAATTTCAAATATCCTTTTAATTCGATAAGACCTGAAACAACATTCAACGTTGGAAAAATAACTAACTAATAAACACGCCTTGTGAAACAACATCAAATAATTTTAAATCTACTCTCACAGCAGTTGTAAACTTATTTTTGAAAATTTTTAGTCTACTGATATTTCAAACTGTTGAAGTCTCACATTCAGAATTGTAACAAGTAAACTGGTTAAATATGCCTGATGATTCTTAGTTTCATTTCAATGAAATCATTTCTGCAAATATCAACTTGCTTGTATGGAAGCTGATAGAGTGGCCACTATCTGACACACGTGAATTCTTAGATAGACTATTCAGTTGTAGCAGTGTCATGCTACTTTAATTCTGTTTAAATTTTGTGGTTATTCGATTATGCATAAAGTTTCATATCAATTAGTGAATTGGTATCAGATATAAAGACTTCTAATTGAGAGGTGTAGTAGTACAATGTAAAATACAGAAAACGCTTTCCGATTACTTAATTTTATATCAGTCTTTATGCGAAATAGTTCACGTCATTCCAAGCACTCTACTTGACAGGTTGCAAAGTGTACAGCTAATACTTTGAGCATTAATGTGGGGATGAACATCAAAACTTTCCTTACTAAGTCTTCAAACTCAAATAACTCACCCTGTGTACTCATATCGAAAGTGACGCTGGTGATTGAAAGCAGTCGGCGGCAGACAAAAATCCCCGCAAAGAAATGTCACTACTTTCGGTACTCTACTACTTGTTATGAAGGGTATTACAGGTTTTTAGTAGGACGAGTGATACATCATTCAGTCACCTCGGCAATAATGTAGTCTACACACACCTGAACTCATGATGAGAATGGTCTAAATCCATATTTCTCACTATTACCATCCTCTTTATCTACAACTCTCCGCTTGCATCCAATGAGGTAGTAATATAAACATTATGAAAAACTATATGCTCAACCGAGTAAGTGGAAACACTCAATGATACCATTTTCGACTCACGTTCTAAGTGACATAGATAATGTAAAGCGTGAAACCAATAACATTCTATGTAATTAACAAGATAAATATTGCTTTGATCTTATCCTATTTGTAATGCATGCTGGTACTATTTCAGTTATTAATTACAAATCACAAAGTTGCTATTATCTATGTTTTCTTTTGTTTTGGTTGCTGTTGAGTGAGTTAGATCCAGTACAGTATCAAATGTTGAGAATTTTGCTCTTATGTGCTGTTTTAAGATAAATCATAAACGAATCTTTATACAGAATAAGATGAGGTAATCATCCGTTTCATTGGTTCGTCTTTAATTGTGTAAACTCTTAGTGGTAATTGTATGTAACTGATGACCGACACAAATCCAAAGACAACATTTAGACGTTCAGATCCTCTATTCAAAGACAGGTACGTGAGATATGAGAACCTAAAAGTAGAACATAAAATGGTCAGTGAGAAACTTTCTTTTAAAGACTATGTTCAGTATGACCGTGTACTATCGTCTGTTAGTTGTCAGGTCTCACTTGTAAAGAACAAGTATTCACACATAATGCAACTCTCATGATTCCATCTTAATAAGACGAATGGCTGCATAGGTCATTTACTATGTGATGTGACTTTTTGCTACGAGCCCAAACAACTATTCTGAAAACAGGGAACTGATCGCAACGTTCTTCAGATACAAAGTTACAAAACGTTAAAAAGACAGCGAAAGCACAATTATTCTTCGATAAATCCATGTTTCTACGTAACACTAATGCATCAAAGACCCAGTATTGACTCAATAGTGATATGAGACAACAATATTGGCAACATAATTAACTTTGTAGAAACCAAATTTGTAGAAAAACTAATTAAACACATCCCAGTTGTAAGCAATACCTGAGAATTAAGTGGAATCCTTCTACAGACGTGAGAACAAGACCAATGCGTCTCGCTTATAGTGCAAAAAGAGAATTATATTGACTCATTCAAACAAAGCCACATTGAACAACATTACACTATCAATGCATGTGACAACCACAATTAGAACGGCTAGAATTAGATATCGAACAAGAAAAAGGAAGAATAATAGTGGCGAAGGCGACATAGGATATGCAATGGTAAAAATGATATACAGTCTATTGGAAAGATGTATAATTATTTCAAAGTTAGTTGAAACACCCAAATAAGCATAAATATCGTGACCAGTTCGTTAAGGAAAAACTCTCGAAACAATTATTCTGTCAAATTGTTTGTATTTCCTAGTGCATCTTCTCAAATACCACTTGTCATCAATAAAACTTTATTTAAACAAGGATACGAGTAGCTTTATCACAGTTTTGCCACTACTTGAAACAAACCATTTTTGTAGACTGCAAAATTGTGTAGGTATATAAAGTGTACACCTTCTATGTGCGTATTGAATTATTTTATTTCAGTTATTCCTCGAAATCACTACATATTGAAAGCAGTAATCCGTCTGTCAGACATAAAGCTGTAGTGGTGACGTAAATCTGCTAAATCTCCAACTCATTGGTGACGTGGTTAGGTGAATGAATGATAAGTGACAGTGGGTCACCATGCCTTATTGAGAATACTTCCTGCATTAACAACAGCAACAACAACAACAGAGATTACATTCAGCTGTTTCACGTTTTTCATATAAGATTTCTATTTATTCTGAAGTCGGAAATGTCACTGTTTCAAATATGCTTGTGTGAAATACACACTTACATACTGTTCAGATAATGAAGATGCTTTGTCAGTGATGAAGCTTTGAAACAATGAAACCACCATGGTATTTAAGAAAACATCAAGATTAAAATAACATACGAGAATTTCAAAGATTAGAAAAAGTGGCGATTGTTCATATCTCCAATATCAGCGGTGCCTTCAGCCCATGTCAAGTCTATCTCCATTTACTCTGGCCCAGTGATTGGGTGATCGATTCTCTTCAGGTTACCTCATAGACTTCTTCAATGATACCCCTTTCTTACTATCTTATCGACCGTATGGAGTTAGCCAAGTCCACTCTTAACAAATGTATGCAGTGACCTGTTTCACACGGTTTTCACTTTTCTGTGCATCTATTTTTAGCAGTAATCATGGAAGACTTTCTGCATCCGTATAAATTTAGCAAACAACTAATGCAAAAGTGCAACGAAATAAACCTCCATTCATCACATTGACGAATATTTGAAGTCAGCTAATTACTACTATCTAGTCAGTACCTAGATGCCACAAACAGAATATATCAAAACCACATGTTTTACAGGACGTTATTTCAACAAATGAATTTATTCCCAAATCACAAAATATAAATATGTATATAATCAGGGGAGATTGTTAGTTTCCCAGTAAGGTGAGACCGAAATGCGCTCACTGATGTTGGCATTAGTTCCCTCAATTTCATTCCCTCTTCCAGCTTCTTCATTTGACGTCACTGCACATCTACCATATACACATGTGCGTATACAGCAATCTTCATTTCTTGTACAACTACTGCCAGTCTGGACGCAACCCGCACACAAATGATTTTCACAAGTGTAAGGCGAACAGCATTCGTTTGACTGTTCACAACGCTGTCCATAATCCTTGCAACCATGATTTGTGTCTAAATTTGAAAAATAATGACAGAGAATTATGGAATTATGGAACTCCGATAAAAAAAACATATCAGTTACTCTTTTTCACGTATACTAAATTCAAAAATTTGCAAATTGAATGAGTGAACGCATCCAAAGTAACTGTATCATTTTGCAGTCTCACTTTCAATGCAAACGTGAAATAAGCGCTAGTAGTGATGGATAGTAGTCCTGAGTGATTAAATGAGAATGTTGTTTAGCTGAAATAGTTCATATCGAAACTAAGCAACTCATTCGAAGAAGATGAAAGGGAAGAAAATTTTGGGAAAAGCCAATAGTGTGGATTAGCACATGAAATGAAGTATTTGTTCTACCGATGGCAAAAAAAGACAAGGTGAATATTTAGTGCAAATCCCAGCGATAAATCACTGAGGCATTAGTTTATTTACATCGCAGTATATTTGTCTCACGTGACCTGTTCAAAACTTTATTCCATGTCAGTTTAACAGTTATTGAATGTAGATTTCGGCACCAACCAACATGAGTTCTAGGGATGATTGAAAACCGCTGAGTACTGACCAGTGTAGACAATTAAGAAAATGTGGTTTATTAAAATGTCAGCATTACTCACATGATGATCTCTTATTTTGAGTTTAGTGCACAAATGTGTGTTTTGAGTTGCACTCTGTGATACTGTTTAACGCTGCAACATTCGAATAGATGAACTGCAGTACTGTCAATTTAAGTGTGATTTTTCGGCATAAACATTACGAGCTATAAAATTCTATTTAGGTAACTGGACGTGGTTTACTTTCTTCAAGAATTCAACTAGTCGAATAGAGTGATCATGATGACTGCGTGAAATCAACAAATTGGATTTGGTGAGGTTTTCTAGATGGGTATTCAACTCAATACGAAGTAAGACACTCTAGTGAGTTATGATTTTGAGAGAAAGGCAGGCATCGCTAAGCACCCGATTATACGCACTCTTAAAATAGGTTTAGATGATGTAGAATTATTGAAAAGTAGTATGATCAAGTGACAAGGAATTTCCCTTCTTGAATCACGATGCATCGAATGAACATCGATTGCACGTGATGGAAATGACGCAACACTAATCCACATATTATGGGAAATCACTTTCAAATACACGATAAATTAGAAACGGTGTAAATTAAGTGCGAAAGCTACGTGAGTACAGTGATATGATTGTAAGCAGTCAATTATTCTTGGAATCACAACCAGTTAATAATGCTATGCCGATGTCCGCCCCATCAAACAAACTTATACAGAGTAAAATAAAGGCAGTTTACTTCTCTGTTTTGTTACGGAGTTCTGTGTACGCAGAGCAGATGATTTCTTCCGTATTGTCTGCAAAATCACTGGAAATCAGAGAATGATTTCGTGGATTGAGGCGTATGAAACATTCTGTAATTGGAATGTATGCGATTTAGTAATGAGCCGTAAACGAGGACAACGCAGCAATTCAGCTATTCCCCGGTATTCAGTTGCTCTTTAACTGATATCAATCAGTGATCAAGCCTGCGGCAGATGAAGGCCTGAAAAACTAATTCTCGAAGACAGTAAGACAGAAACATTTGCTCGTGATCTCTTGTAGGACTGTGACAGACACAGAAAATGACACCACTCCCAACTGACTTTGAGCTATACTGATTACAGCTGTCACATGGATTGTTCTTGTAATTTCTCAGGAATACGAACTGGAATATAGTTCTTCCTCCGTCAGTCAAAGCTTACAGTTTCGTATTTTAAGAATGTTGCACTCAACCATGGTTATATATGCACAGGGCAGTTAACCAGTTACACTAATAATCTTATATATATATATATATATATATATATATATATATATACACTTGTGGAAATATATTCATATTATAATATCTCACTTGCTACATTCAAATATACTGTCGTGACTTACCCTCAGTGAACGATAACACAATCAGTGAGATCAACACAAGCAATCTCTCTCCGATCATAGTTGCCTACTTATAGGCGAATTAGAACGAATTCACTCTATGAATAACTTCGTCTGCTTTTATACATTTATCACTGTTCGTGTGTGCGTGCGTGCGGCCATCAACTGATATCTCACTGGTGCTCCACTCTACGCATTTGATCAGATTGACCTCTAAAAGCGTTCTGATTACTTATTTTAATGTCATTATTGATGTGTATTTTCGAATGATAATCCATCTGATCAATGATAATCATCTGATAACTCAGATGACAGTTTAACTGGTTACTAATCCTAATCATGTCACGATTGAGTGATTGTGAATGAAAATGTCTTTGCATCTGCGTGTCATTAGCATGATAGTGTGGATAATCATGATCGCTACTTAATTCGCACGTATGCGGATGAAGTTATTTAACTCATCGAATACTGTTAGTGAACAATCATGTCATTATAGATGCAAGGTTTCTTCAAAAAGCAATAAGTCACAACAGCGTCATGTATGAGAATTTCATTTCATCATAAATAACATAAACCTCCTGGTTTACACTCCATGTACTAATTTCCAACAAAGTAGTAAAGAAACCTGTTCATCTACACAGTGATATCAGGATTATTGTCAGTGTGACGTTTTGAGCTTTGTTGAACAGATCAAATGAATTATCATCATAATTCAACATTTTGACATACAATGATAAATCATATACATACGGTCCATTTCTTGTTCATTCATTTGTGTGCATCCGATATTCTCTTTCAGATGGTTGACAGTTGTACTGAGTCAGACTTGTTTCATATATATGTAAATATAGATTCTCCATTTGTTTATGATTCGGTAAGACGAGGATTCATTCATGATCTTCTATACAGAATACGTAGGCTCAAAACTTCACCAGAAGACGTCCAACGAAAAGAAATAAACGTCTACTTCAAAATGTTGCTCGAAAACAGTTAAGCACAAGTATTTATCAGATATAATATAAGGAAGATAAAATGAAAGAGGGTGGGAACAGAGACTGAGAAGAAAGCGGATTGCAATATATGCTTATGAGTACACCATAAAAAGTGGTACATCAGAGAGAATTTCGAAGAAACCACAAACTTTTTCGCCAATCGTACGACGTTGAAATCAACGAATATAACTATAAATTATACAAATCAGCTAAGAGATCCGATAAAAATGATGGATAAACAATAATGTAATTTACAAAATATCTTGTGCCTAATTTCCCGACTGAATATGTGGGTCGAAAATCTAGATCACTCAAAATGAGACTGAATTAACAACCAGACCTAACTGAAGGTCATCTCACAGGAAAACATTCTTACAGGAACTTAGAAGGAAATCCATCTATAGCTAGCTGTACATGCATGGGACAGAAACCACAACATTGATTTGGACAACGCTTATAATCTGAAATCTAATGTGAACGAATGAAAAGAGAATAGAATTCTGAATACACAGAAGTGCTAGAACAAAAATCGAACCATATATATATGTGATTTCAAATCATAGTGGCGTGAAATAATGACAAATTCATTCCAACATTTGATGTGATCAAGTGCAATAATTTTCCTGGAAATACGATCAGAATGATAAAACTTATCATTGTGTGTAAACTCTTGAAATACATTTATAAACTGACATCAGGAAATAGGTGTCACCTTGAATGAAATGAGAAACTATGAAGTATTTCACTTTTGTTGATAAGAAAATATCTGCTAAACTCGGAAGTTGAAAAATATCTCTATCAATGGAGTGTGACCATCCCAATGAGGAAGATATAATTCAGCTCGTAAACTGCTACTATTCAATTCAAGAAGTAAATAAATCTTGTGGTATATCTAAATATTTCTGTGTTTTTTAGGTTGAATCGAAGATGACTTGAGATATAGGTATCTACATATAAATGGGAAAGCATGAATATAGAAATCAGCACGAGAGATAAACAATCAACTCTCCATTATTTGGGGTTCGATTTCAAAATTGAGTAGAATGACTCACTTAATACCCAATCAATTATTCGTGACTGTTCAAAATAGTCTCACCAAATACTGTTTAATCTGTGCAAATGAATCCATTTGTGACCGTAAACAGCTGGCATGTACACGGAGAAGATTTGCTTTAGATACTGCTGCTCTCGTAATATATAACACTCTTTCCTGCCTAACAAGGATGCTTAAGTATGTTTGTAAGCCTTTCTTGACAATACATCTGCTTTTGACTTTGTTAACAGGTGTCATTTTTTGAATAAGCTTGCTTTCCATGACACCAACTGAGTCCTGGGCTGACTAACTGGTTGCAATGTCATTTCTCAAACAGAAGGCAATATAAAGGTAAATCTTCCTCTTCTGTGCTTACCGTAGTCTCTGTTACTCAGTGTGCTTTACTCATTACTTTTCTGTTTTTCGCCTTGATCATGACTTACCCTGTTCGCTAGAAACCAACTTTGTGGAATATGCTGATCTACCTAATATCTTAAGCCCAACCACTTCCTGAACTAATTGTTGCAAACTGAATAACTTTCTGTTGGACATAAGATATTGGCCTAAGTTTAGTAGTCATACGTTGAATCCCCTGAAATACCAGACAGTTAATTTCACCTTCAGGACTAAACGCGATCGTAAGGAAGTCATTAGTCCAGAGGAAAGCAATGAAAAAGATCTAAGGTAAGGATGAACCAATATGAAATATTTTATTATTTGGAGGGTTTCAACGCCAATGGAAAACTCGATAGTACTGAACACCCAAATGTTTAACCAACTTATTTCGGGACTCCTTGTCAGTTCGCACCTACACAGTCCAATCTTGGACGTTCTGGTTAAAAGGCGAGTTCGCAGACCGTTAGGCCACTAGCACCCACTAGGACAGCACAAGAATTCCAACTTCTGCTAATTCACCACAGACCACAAACACTACGCAATGTTTTCTTCGATTAGTCACTGTCTTGTCTTCAACCTGCTGCACCCTACTGGTTACGACTTGCCATTAGAATCCTTGGTAACTGCCTGTATAAGGCCAGTCACTAGTGAGCATCATTTGTGTTTACCAAGATTTTTAACACCAATTAGTGAGGTACTGATTGTGCATTGAAGTAGTTAAGTTTAAATTTTGAAGTATACATAGCCATCTTCAGTAAATGACTCGATGCATTATTTAAGACTGAGTGTGAATTTGTGGTGAAGCTAAATTTGCCTGAATTGAAACTTGTACTAGTAGATCATTATCCAGAACTATTCATGAGACTAATTACTGAAACAATGTTCACCGATAAAGCAGAATTTCACAGGGTGAACTTGATTATCATGAGAAGTATGCATTCAGCGGAAGTTATTATTCGGTGGGACGTGAGAAACTTACAACATACATGTTTTCTCAAATGTACGCTGTCAGCTGAGGGTTGGACACAGTTTGGTTCATAGTAGGGACAGATGTGCTCTACATTTGAGTTCGGTGGTAATGTACAATTAGAAATTGAATAGCCATTGGAGAGGAGTCTCTGCCGGAATTCATAAGACAGATTACTTCATCTCACAGCTAAAGAAAATATACGTGTATAAAATCTTTGTCTGGCCTCGGTTAGAGCAGAGATAAGTAGACGACACTTGCAATGTTTTGAATCATGATTGGAAATCAGAGGACATCAAGAAAATATCCTACAGCCCTGACATCCTTCTTTTCATTCACATTGAAGAAAGAGCGCGGCACAAGAATATTTTTCCTAGATGTTTATTAACTCAAAGAAGAGGCGAACAAGTTGCGACACTGAAAGAATCCATACTCAGAAAGGCCACATGGCGCGAAAAGCTCACTAACTTGGATAATTAGCTGCTTCTATATACGAAACGTATCCTGATCCATTAACTGAGGTGCAAAGTGCTCAGCATTTGCAGCCTTTACACTGTGCAAGAAGAGATGAACACTATGTGAACAATTCTGATTGAAAATAGCTACTCTCAACGTTTCGTCAAAAAATCCATGAAGCACAATTTTACTGAATAACTTATGTAGGCGGATATTGTGTGTAGTGATATTGACTCTGTTTTGCGTTGTGTTCAGCTGGCAAGAACTAGAGAAATAAAAGGATCATGACACATTATCCTGCTCGACATTTCCTTCTTGAGTTAACCAGACTGGCAAGTTATATTGACAACTAATGCACCAGGTTTCAATCATTACAGGCTGAAACTTCATCATCAGTACTCCAATAGAAATTGTGCATTGTGATGGAGTATAATTCCATTGTGTGTAAGATTAATTTTGATAACTTCAGTGATATGCAGTATTATTTACTTATGATGTTTAAAGCGCAGTTTATCGGTCATAATTTTATCAAGGGACTGACACTCCTGTCTAAATTCGTGTATATACTTCCACAATGTTTAATCCCTTGACTTGAAGATTGTAGTATTTTACATCCTTCATCAACGTGACGATGGTGTGGAGCTTATCAGCTAGGTGTATATATCAATCCTTCATTTTCGAATAAACGTTAGTCTTGAATACTTGAATTGTGCAACTATCCATAGTTCGGTATATGGCTGAATTCATTTCCACCAGAAATTCATCTCACACAGTTTGCTTGAGAAATGTGCAGTTACATTTGCGGGCAGATTCGTTCAATCATGATGTCACCTAATACCATTTTAATGGCTACCACATCAGAAATATTTAGAAAGCTGGAACTAAACACAAATTCAATTACCTCAGGTAAATTAGAGGCCATTTCCTCTACGCAGAATCTGCAACAGTCATTGATTGCCTCACTTTTGCAAAGAGAGGTCACACTCGTGAAGGGTTATTTGTTTAATATTTTTTGATTACAGCTTGGTTCCACACAGTACTTTTTAGTAGGAGTATGGAATTTTAAGCATGTGATATCGGTAGCCCGGATTTTGCAGGCCAACCATTGATATCAGGTATCCGTCGGCAGGAAATCGAACCCCGGACCATGCTCATGGTCGGCGACAGTCCTGACCACTGTGACACCGATGCACAGAGATCAGTGTGTTGTTGATGAAGACCTACACTAGTGTTCAGTG